GAGAAATATAGAAAAATACTGTTTCTATTGAAACTAATTTTTCACAAAGTGTCTGGAATTAATTTTCCTCTAACATGGTAATTCTAGTAATATTTTTTTGCTTTTTCAAAGCAAAAAAATATAATTTAAAGTCTTAGATTTTCTATCGATAAATATTATCGAAAACTAACTTTTTTCAAATGAAAAATATAGAAAAATAATGTTTCTATTGAAACTCATTTTTCACAAAGTATCTGAGATTATTTTTCTTATACTATGGTAATTCTAATAATCAAATATACCACTGTGATTTAAATCAATTAATGAAAAATAAACATTATTGAAAATCAACTCTTTTTCAATTGAGAAATATAGAAAAATAATTTTTCTATTAAAACTCATTTTTCACGAAGTGCCTGGGATTATTTTTCCTATAATATGGTAATTCTTATATAATTGTTTTGCTTGTTTAAAGCAAAAAATATATTTTAAATTCGTAGATTGTGTATCGAGAAATATTATTGAAAATGAACTTTTTTTCAATTGAGAAATATAGAAAAATATTGTTTCTGAAACTAATTTTGTACAAAGTGTCTTGGAGTACGTTTCCTATAATATGGTAATTCTAATAATATATATAATTTTTTGCTTCTATAAAACAAAAAAATATAATTTAAAGTAGATTGTGTAGATTTTCTATCGAGAAATATAGTTTTGAAGACCAATTTTTTTTCAGTTGAGAAATATAGAAAAATATTATTTCTTTTGAAAGTAATTGTTCACAAAGAATAAAGTCGATCTTTATTTGTCATCTCCAATTTTTATAGATTATATGGTAAATATTGACAATAACGGACTACTTTCCAATCAACTTGAGCTTCACATATGGTATCAAGAACATTGTCCTGAGTAACATGCAAAAAATTTTAGCCGTCGCTTGTTGGTTATTAAAAAGTTATTAATATTGATAATAACAGGTCAACTTCCGATCTACTTGAGCTTCACATATGTTGTCAAGGACAATGTCTTGAGTAACATGCAAAAGTTTTTAGCCGTCGCTCATTGTTTATAAAAGGTTACAAACAAAAAAAGTTTCATAAATAAATTTTTTTTCGACATTATGGACATTTTCTTCATGTTGTAAGAGTGTAGGCAGGAGGGGGCTACCCCCTCAAGTAGGTCGGACTAATAATGGTCCGTATTATTGTCAATATTTACCGATTATATTAACTGTTATTTTAAAATTCCAGACGTCTGGTAATTCTATATATGTGTATAAAATTATGGATATGTTTGTTTTGGATTCTAGAAATAAGCGTCTGATCCGTTTTTATTACTTTTTAAATGTGGAACAAAAAAATAGTCGCTCAAAGCGCGTCTATTTTTGCGCGTTCTTCATGCGTTCCAAAGCAAACGCATCTTGTATTATACATAAACTTGTCTTCTAACCTGTGCAAAGTTCAAGAAAAATAATTGATTCTGAGTCATGTTCACGCCGGGTAGCTGCAACAGATCCTTGTAGTACTTAGGCATTGAGACGTAGGCGTGGTATGCCGCTTTGAGGCCGCCATTGTCGGCAATGTTCTCTCCTACATTACAATCAATGTTTGAACTCTGATTCTCCTCCAGGAAAAAGATATATATAATAAGAGAAATTAAATAATACATTTTTACCTAGTGTTTGTCGACCGTTTACATTACGACCGTTTACTTGATATTGATTATATTGCTCCACAAAACACTCGGTTCTATTTTTAAAACGGTCCGTAGTTGCATTGTTCCACCACTGATGCAAATTGCCATACATGTCGAACTCTCGACCTATGTGACGTTTAATCAACTTCAATGGGAGAAATAAGACGGGCAACAAATTGGAAGCGGCAAACATATCTCACTCAAAGATATCTTCTGCCTCTACTAAGTAAATAGTTTTTTTCAACCATTGCATAATTATTAATTATTTATAATTTAAGATGAACTTCTACTCGATATGGTGGCACTCAGCTTATTAAATTATTTATTCTTACCTTGGTCATCAAATGCGTGCGTAAGTTCGTGACCCATTACTACGCCGATGCCACCGAAATTCAAGCTGTTAGGACTTTCCCGGTCGTAAAACGGACTTTGGAGTATGCCGGCGGGAAAAACGATTTGATTCTTGGTGGGCGTGTAATAAGCGTTGACGGTGGGTGGAGACATAACCCAGGCGGTCTTGTTCACCACTTGATCGAGCTTTTCGAGATTCTTGCGCAAATTATATTTGTTCACGCGTATATTATTTTGAAAATATTCGTTCGGCTTGATTATCAGATCTCTGTAGCGTTCGTCGAGTTCGTTGGGCTGCAAAATGAAATCCGGGAAACCGATCATGTCTGTAATGGCGTTTGCTTTTTCCTCGGCGGCCTTTCTCGTCTCGTCGTCCATCCAGTCCAAGTTCTTCAAGTTTGACGTGAACGCCTGGCGCACTCGATTTATCATTTCCTGCGCCTGAAAGCAACGATATGTCACATAGCAAAATGTTAAAAAATATACAATAAAAAATAGAATTTCTTAAATTATAAATTAATAAACATAACAAACTGACGAAGAGTTGAGGCTCATGAAATTTAAATTAACGCAAAATTTAAATTGGTCAATGAGAGTCTACACGCTGGATGTTTGTGTGAAATAAATAAATACATATATATATTTATATTTATATTTTTTAGTGTAAATTAAATACACACAAATTTGAATTAAAACTTCAATTCGTGAATTCATATAGAATGCTGGATTTGCATCACGTATATGAGAAATGCCCGTTTTTCCTCCTATCTAATTTAATTATATTGCGAAAAAACGAAACGCACGGAAAGCAAGAGACTCCTGGCTAAGGGATTTTTTTTGCAATATAATTAAATTAGATAGGCGGGAAAACGAGCATTTCTCATATGCGTGATGCAAATCTAGCATCATATATGAACTCACAAATTAAAACTTCAATTCAAATTCATGTGTATAATTTACATTAAATAAATAAATAAATACATATTTATTTATTCATTTATTTTGCATAAACATCCAGCGTACAGCCTCTCATTGGCCGGTTTAAATTTTCGCGTTGTTATTTAGCAGACATAAATTTTGGAACTTGTGAAATTCAGAAGACGCTCTTTCTCCCGTGTGAACCAACCATAGGTTTGCTTTTGCCGTGAAAAGCCTCTCGAACGAACATTGCACCAACTGCAAAACCCATGGAAGTGCTAACATCGTCAACGCAATAGCGCCACGCCTCTTCGGTGCCTTCCGAACCGAGCAAGGCTTTCCGCAAGCCTTTGTAAGCCTCTCGGAACGGCTTTGACAAACCAGACGCTAATGTTCTCACAGTCTGCCACACCAAATAATTGTTTAATATTCTAGAAAAAAAAGAAACGAAATATATCAAAGATTTACCTGTGTTTTAATTATAAATATTTATATGTAAATGTGACAATATTTTAAACACCTATCGACGTACGTTAAGAAAAGTAACACGTTATATTTCGTCTTAGGAAGATTAGCGTATTTTAATTTAAAACAAAAAGTACATTTTATTTGTTTTAATAAATTGATAAAATTATAAAATGTTGAAGTGAATGTTTCTAAAGAAATGAAACAATTACAGATAATGGTGGGACAATCACAACGTGTTGCTTTCTTTGTAGAGAAAAAGTCGATATATATATATATATATACTAACATCTTTCCTTCAGTGGTTTTGTTATATTCCTGCACGAGTTTGGTCAGTTTTTCGAAATAATCCGGCGCAAAATTCACTATTTGCGATTTTGCGTTGATCTTTTTGTTTACAAGACGAGTGGCGTTTTGGAAATAATCCACCCAGGATATCTAAAAAAAATGCAATTGTATTTAAATTGGTAAAATCGCAATCAAATAAAACTTGATCTTAAAAATTATCAAACGTTTGTAAGACGAATAACAATGACTGGACGTCAATTGCGTGTGAATTTATTCGTTAAATCGAAACAAATTGGACTTTGAATCCAGCGTGAGCTCTTATTGGCCTTGCAATTCCCACGTTATTCTTTTTCTACTAAATGACAAAAAGAAAACAAATTTACAACGAGAAGACGTACGCACCATAGGCGCTTTGCGTTGTAACTCACTCAAAGACATCAGAGTATAGAGTTTTTCTTCGTCTCTGCGTTCTTCGGGAGGAATAGTTATTTCGGCGAGTTTTGTTTCAAAAGTTATCACATCTTGCATCTGTTTTCTCGTGGAATTCTCTTCGCCGCCCAAGAGCACGCCAATCTGAAAAACACGCTTGTCTAATCGGAAATGTCAGAAGTGCGAAACGACGCACATAGACGAATTCCGATCAATTTAATCGGTCGATTAATTCGGTTGAAATTGACTTGATTGATACAATTGATTTTCAATCGACCAGTTAATTTAATTCGTGAGAATAAAACTGGTTTGTAATCTGGTGTTTTGTTACCTTTGTCATATATTCTAAGTAGGCCGCCAAAACTTTTCCATGTTCTGTTATATTAAGATAATTTTCTGCAGTCGGGAGAGTTAAACCTCCTTGATCAATCTTAAACATAAAAAAAAATCAAAACTTTGACATTTGTAAAAAAATGTTTATAAATTTTCTTAAAACCAATTAATTATAACTGTTTTTCAATAAAAATCGATATTAAACAATACACGGAACAACTGTAAAATAAAAACTTCTGTAAAAATCTCTATTAAATATTCATTAGACGTCACAGAAGTCGGACGTCTAGTCAACAATTTGTACGTCTATGGTTAAAAGTTACATATACTAAAAACTTTTGCATTTTCTAATATAATATAAAATCTTCTACAATTGCGTCAGCTAACACACTTGAATTATGTATCGCGTGCTGTTTCGATCGTCTTCGTTTACGACCCAAGAAAATAAACCGCCCATATTGTAACAGTTTTGCAGGACGTGCATGGTTGTTTGTAACGACCAGTTGCTGATGTTAAATTTCCCAGAGACGTTCCATCCTCCAACAGTCTCCAGTAAATCTGTCATTGGCTTGGCACCGAGCGCCTCAATCGTCTCGTTAGCGTCCATGCAGGCCGTGTAATAAGCCTTGGCTTTTCTCTCGGCCTTTGATCTCATTTCGCTGCTTGGTTGTTCTGCGCGAAAAAGAATTTCATCAATAAAAACACGAAATGTTCCTCGCAATTATGTCATTTTCTCGATTTCTACATATACGCGCGCGCTTACCAAGAACGTGTTTGATGATTAGCTGATTATCCTGTTCTAACTTTCCGAATGTGCCCCACATGCTCTTTCCTTCCGGAATCGGATTCTGTTTGCTCCAGCCGCCGCAAGCGTATTCGTAAAAATCATCGCAAGGATTGGCGGCCAGATTTATGCTATGAATTATAGACGCCGCTGTGGACACGCACTGTTCTGTGAGACAGTGCGTTTCTTCTGGAAAAGTTTTACACGACGTTTTATTTAAAAATAAGACACTGTGAAAACTGTGTTTTGTAACGTCAACCACTTGTAATCTCACTTAAATCTTCCTCTGTTTTCGTCAACAAACCTTTTCTCTCGCCGACGTGAAGAACGTGCGCTTCGTCCCATCGACTTTTGCTGCTTATGATAATGCCGAGTACGACAACTATCATCAGCAGAATGCAACAGATTATGAGAAGACATTTTTCTATAATGGTTCTCGCCTTCCACATGCTTGTTCCCTAAAAATTACAATTAGAGTTTCAACGAAATATGTGTGTGTATATATATGTATACAGGGTGTCCCAGAATAGCCGTACAATCTCTCGTAGGCAGATAGAAGGAATAAAACTGAGTCGAAAAGTCCTGAACCATTTTTTTCTATTATTTATAATAAAGGAGTAATTATTGAGTAAAGCGGGCCAATCAGCGCAG